GGCAGCCCGTTAATCCGAGCGAGAGGCTGAGAAGCCCAACAACGAGACCGCGGAGTCCCAGGGTAGGCGGATGCCGGAGGTAGCCCACGGTTCCTGAACGCACAGAGAGGTGCGGGACACAAAAACAGACTGCTACGAGCACTGGAGCCTGGACGAGACAAGACAGAACTGGTGAGCGATAATGCACGGACAGACAGAGCAAGGGAGATAATCACAACGAACTGACAACATACAGAGAAACACGAGGAGCTATAAGGGGAAGCTAATGAGATGACCAGAACCAGGTGTGAAACAAGGAGGGCGGGGACAACAATCATGCTGACATGCTCACGTGGCGAGCTGTCAAAACAAATCACGCACAACACACAAACACAGAGACAGGTGATCAGACCCGAGACCCGACACTATGATTTTACCAAAGACAATGGACCATGGTAACCACAGATTAACCATGTTTTTTGTTACACTAACCATAGTTTAACCATGGAATGTGTAGTAAAAAAAATAAATACAAATGGTAATCCATTTGCCAAAAATAAAAAAACAATACATGATTACTGTACTTTTACTCTAATAAAATCATGGTTAATTTTTGTAAGGGAAAAATATGACATGTTCAGTATTGTGATTTTTCTATAAAGATATTGTAATAGTTATTATTGTACTTATTTTGACATGTAGGCCATTTAGAAAGAATAATTTTGTTAAATCTTGAGTAATAAGGTATTGTGAGAGATATAGAGATATCAGGGCAAAATAAAGAGACTGACATTTTTTTTAAATGGAAGTGAAGGTGCAGTTCAGGAGAGAACTTTTAATTATTTTGCATGTCCCCATACAAAAATAGGGTTGTCTGTGTTTTAGAATTTGTTTGGGTGTATGGGATGGCCTGGATGAGTGTGAGATTTCCCAGCCTGAAATATTTTCCCAGTCCGCACCTCGTGGAAATTAATGGCGCAGACGCGCAGTTTCATTTAAGCGTGTATGTGTATCGCTCGTGGTCTTTTCAGCCATCTCAATATGAGTACATGAACACATAAACAATCTCTAGAACTGCTCTGAGTCACTTCATGAGCATTTTACAATTTATTTTGAGAAAACTATTGTCATATCATATAAACAGACACCAATGTTTCAAAAAGACATCAATGTTTCAGGCTTTTAGTACAAAGAATAGGACACATGCATGATAGATAACCATATTTCGGTTGTATATGCTTTTATTTATTTATTTTTTCCAAAGCATTGTTAGATGCAGTGTTTCCTGTAGTTATGCGAATATTTGGTTTCAAAAACAGTATCAGTAAACTATTTCATATGATTTTAAATGTGCATTGAACTTCAGATCAATCTCAAAGTAAAAGGCGGTACTAAAGTCTGATTTTGTAGTGGATGTGTTCAGTTATTATCATCTTAATTCAAGTGATGAAGGATTTTGACAGTAATCAGTGTTGAGCACATGCTGTAACGTTAACCCTGCATGGTGTAAATGTTTGAAAATGATTAACAGTTGAAAACATTCATTAGAAATTTAGAAAAGTAATCAGTTACATTACTTTAAAGTAACATTTTAATTTGGGTAACTTGTAATCTGTAACCAATTACATTTTCAAAGTAACCTTCCCAACACTGTGTGTGTGTGTGTGTGTGTGTGTGTGTGTGTGTGTGTATATATATATATATATATATATATATATATATATATACAGAGGCGGACAGTAACTAAGTACATTTACTTGAGTATTGTACTTAAGTACACTTTTTGAGTATCTGTACTTTACTTGAGTATTATTTTTTATATATATATATATATACTGTATATACACACACATACACACACACTGTAAATAAGGAAAGCAAAACAAGTAAACCATTCAGTAGATCATGACTTTATTTTACATTTCCATGCATTTTACACAGCAGTAATATGAAAAAAGTAAAAGGCAACACGGTATCAGGAAAAATGTTAGATTTTTTCCCAGATATCCTTTGTCTTATTAAATGATTTCAAAATAAAAAAGTGGCATGATGTTCCTTGTGGACAGCCGCATAACTTGCCAACTCTTGCACCTTTACGTACTGCTCACCTGCATCACACTTTAGATAAAAAGAAGTACACATACGATTAATGAAGTGGTCAGTGTAATAACAGTACATGACCAGACACACATATTGCAGTATATGACGTCATGGGTAGCCTACATCTTATTATCTATGTAAAATCATTACAGCATAATGTTAACATCTTTGTTTCCATGCATTTGACTTGTCACAATATGTACTCATTTAGTTGTCAACTGTATATTCATTGTAAATGATTCAATTCAAAGTGAAAAAAGTGCAGTGAACTTATAATTTTACTTAGGCAAAGCCTATCAGTGTCGCGATTCGCTGCGGGAGGAACGAGAGAGAAACGTGGAGTACAAGCAAAAGTCTTTAATCCAGGAATCACAGGGGATTATCCACAACAGAAACACACAACATCCAACAAGTAGACCTGACAGGGGAGAAATGCACAGACAAGAAGTTATAAACACAGGACAATTACCAAACACAGGTGCACAGAATGACTAATTAACTAAACAAGGACAGGAACATGACCAAATAAGGGAAGCTTAGGAGGAGCTTGCACCGTATTGATGGTGGGCTGAAGGCGAGCAGAGGGGCTGCCAGACGACAGCGGTGGAGGAGACTGGAGTGGGTGGGAGGGCGGGCATTTGTGAGTCTCCGGGCATTCAGGGCTTAACTCTGGATTGGAAGCCCCCTCTAGACTGAACACGGAAACAGGATGGGCGCTCTGGAGGAGCAGACACTAGGGGGCACTTTCGAGGAGCGGGCACTGGAGGGCGCTCTGGACTGGATTCAGGGACTGGAGCCCTCTCCTCTTCGCTTTGGCACTTTCGCCGCAACATACTCCGCTCACTCTCAGCCGCGGTGCAGGGGGCGGAGCTCCTCTCCACGCTCCCTCGTGATGGGCATTATTGCCGCCTGGTCTGACGGATACAGCTCTACGTCTGGGCGATCCTTTCTCAGTCGCTTGGCTTTGCGCTCGCTCGCTGATCGCGGTGGGAATTGGCTCTCCATCATCGGTGGGCTCAGGCTTTAGCTCCTCACAGCGGGGAGATGGTGGGCTGGGCTCTGGGTATGGGTGGAACTGGTGAGATTCTCCTGGGAACAGGTGGGGGACAGAGATCCATTTCTCGACAGAGTCCACTCCACGAAGGCGGCGAATTCCACTCGAGGACCATCTTCGGACGACGGCGCTCTGCACGCGGTGTTCAGGCTGGCGTCATAGAACGCGCAGAGCGCGTCGTCCGGGTAGCTGGTAAGTTCGGCGAGAGCCAGAAACAGTCTGGTATGGTCCCCGAGCAAGCGCTCCCCCTGCTCCAGCAAGAGGAGGAGGAATTCGGGGCTAAGGAGGGGATCCATTAGGGCACACCACGGAAACAAAAACACTGGTGAAAACCGGTAGACAAACGGAGGTTACTGTTTTTGGTCGGGTATTCTGTCACGATTTGCTGCAGGAGGAACGAGAGAGAAACGTGGAGTACAAGAAAAAAAGTCTTTAATCCAGGAATCACAGGGGAAATAATCCACAACAGAAACACGGGAAACACACAACATCCAACAAGTAGACCCGACAGAGAAGAAATGCACAGACAAGAACTTGTAAACACAGGACAATTACCAAACACAGGTGCACAGAATGATTAATTAACTAAACAAGGACAGGAACATGACCAAATAAGGGAACACAGGAACAGAAACGGGGGTGGGGGGGAACATAACAAAACAGGTCCATAATCCTGACAATCAGAGAATGAAGTCACATAATTATGATTAAAACAATTTCTACATGAGGGTAGAATTGAAAAAAAAGAGTGTAAATGTTCTCCATTTGTGTGAAATGCTACATTACCAAAGGAAGTAGGCTAAACTTTTTTCCGGTTTGTGGCAGTTGTTTATTCTTTAACTTCTCAAGAACCTCTTGCAGTGCCTTGATCTGTAAAATAATTTACAATTTTAAATCAATTTCCTGAGATTATTCAAGATGATTGGTTCTTCTCATTTCTTTTTCCAGTGTTCCATCATGAAAGACGTAAAAAAAATACGTAACTCACCAAATTGTTCTCATCCTGTGTTTTTGTGGCACTCTCCAAAGAGCGACTGTCAAGTGAGTCATCACAGCTTGTGAGAATGAAGGACAGGGCAGAACCAGCAGCAATAAGGATGATCCGTCCACTAACCATGATACTGAAAGTTACCTTGGTCTCCACAGCAGAAGATGGTCAGTGGTCTCATGGTGTGATGAAGAGCTGCTCTTTATAAATGGATTCAACATCACCTGCTGCAAAATTCATGATGACGACCCTCAGTGACACATGTTAAGCTCATGCAAGGCCATATTGGCATATTTCTGGTAGTTTATGAGGGAAAATATCAGCAGAATGCCTGATATTGCAGATGTACTTTGTGTTCTAACTCAGAGTGACCATGTATTCTGTATACATGTCTGCTTATGCTTTTGTTTGTGTGCTTTTATAAACCACGAGTTTCCTTTTATAGACTCAGGGACCCCACTCAAAATTTCAGAAAACCCAGGAACCCCCAAAAGCTAAAAAAAAATTCTGTAACACTTTACAATATTTTTCATAAACACCATAAGCATTTTACATAATATAGGCCTACTTATTGGTTGAAGTCATATAGTTTGAAAACTATAGGAAACTTTCATTTGTTGTTTATGTTTTTACATTTATATGCTGATCTGTTAGGTTTGAAGAGCTAATTTCTTAGTTGTTCTTTTTAAAAGAAACTTCTATATATTTAGTATTAGCCGTTCTCAGTGCAATACCCTCACACACCAGCAGAGGTTGACAAACCTCAGAATAAAATCCAAAACAATTGTGTGGCTCTTTGAGCTGATAATCAAAGTAAATCATTTAAAAACATATTTTCATTATCATTTTTAAATTAATCTATAAATTACTTAATTTATTATAGCAAAATTAGGAACAGATGATTGGGGGCATGTATGAAGAGTAACCAGGGTCAGTGGTTTTTCTTCAGGTACTAATGAGGCAACCTGTAAGGCACAGACCCAAAGGCAATGGATGTCTGGGGTGGCAGAACAGTGATGGAGTAATTCTAGCCTAATTCAGAAAATTAGAAATAAAACCTCAGTCGTTTTAATCCCATGTTAATATTTTTTTAATTAAGCACTAAGTACATGTAATCATATTGTACAGTATGTACAGTGGGTACGGAAAGTATTCAGACCCCTTAAATTTTTCACTCTTTGTTATATTGCAGCCATTTGCTAAATACTTTCCGTACCCACTGTATGTATAATGATAACGTAGGTATGTGTGTATGTATGTATTACAAACACACACACACTGAGAAAGCACATTGAGATGCTTAAGTAACATTTACTTTATTTATTGACATTATAGGCCAGATGTTGTTTGCAAAACATAAGAAATAGCTTAAGTATAGATTTAAAAAGTCAGAATCATTCTCAAATATTTAATCAAGATATTAATATTTTGATATTAATATATAAAACTTGAGAAATATCAAATGGTAAATTTAAAGTTAAATTGTGTAGGCTACAAGAATTTAATCATTTGAGTTCTTTATTGCTTTATTATTTTATAATAGGCTACTAACTTTGTGATCATTCTATGGAGCAAGGTCTTTTTACAAAACTGAAGAGCTATAAGCTGACTCTGCTTGCAAGGCCATATTAATGTCACTTGATAAAGGATTAAGATGATAAACACGTTGTCAAGTTGATTTATGGTCCTACAAACTTGGTCAAACTAATTTTATTCAACTGATGTAATCATGACAGCACTGATTGAGCAGATTATTATCATGCAAAATGATTTTCCTCTAACAATCAGGTAATCCTCCCCTCCGTGTTTCGATTCACAGCTCTTCTTTATTTTGTTGTAGGCTACCACATTATAACTAACATAACATTAAAGCTGAACAGTTTAAGCGTATGATAGGCTATCTAACCATTATCACCGAAACCAACTAAGTTCGTGTAATTTTAAATGTAGTTATTAGTTTTGATGTAATCACCGAATGAGTACCTTCGTGAGTGATCATCTTAATTTCTGAGGTCCATGGCATGCCCACACATGTTCCTGTCCTTGTGCTCAATCCTCCACGAGAAGGTAAAGTTCTCGCCACCAGATGGAGCGCGGGACAAAGATTACATACAGTAACGGGCTCATGAGTGTTTCATAAATGCTTTTCAAAATAGTTATGAAAATTTGATTATTTTTGCATCAAGCAATGAATTACGCAAACATTAATAAATGTGTATTTCTCATTTGAGTCAATATATGCAGATGGTTAAGTAATACATTTTAATATTCTTTTAATGAACTATTTTTATTTTTATGAATGCATTTTCAGCATGTAGCAGTCTCACGTAGGCTATATAAGTTCGTATTATGAAGCATTATTTTTACTAATTATGTAATGCAAAAAAACCTAATACAAAAAGTTTTGTGAGATTGACAGAAATGTAAACAGCAAAATAAACAATAAATAATTAAATGGTAAAAAAAAAGGCATACAAAAATAATATGCATCTATATTTTTATATAATGTATAATCATGTATTTGTTATATTTTAAAAGGTTAACAATTTTGAAAAACTCAAAGGGTACTTCGTGTAGGCTGGGTTGCAGTTGACCCCCAAAAAATCAATATTCATGCGTTTTCATTTTTAACAAATTAGTCTGCAGGATTTCATTATGGAGAATAGCCCCTTGATCGTTCCTTACACAAAGACAACTGCCGTTGAAACAATACTTCACACAATAGGAGACTCCATAGAAACCTCCGGGGCCAATTAGCGTGAGGTTTCGGCTGCAGTTTCAACCACGCCTACTACGCTTCTCCTGCTATAAAACTCCGGCTCCCACAGCTTCAGGTCGAACACGAATCGAGACGGTATCGTAGAGAGAAGTATCTGAGCAGTGCGAGAGAGAAACCACTCGAAATCTCTGGATTACTACTCCCGTCAAAGATCGCCGTATCGACTGGAATTATATTATTTTGAGGAAATTTCGATTTCTGGATTATAATATAATTTAATGACAAACATGACTCTGGAAGAACTTGTTGGATGCAACAGCACAGACAGAAAGTAAGTTAACGTTACTTGTTTTTCTTAGCATCTCAAAAGAACGAGTCTCAAAAATATTTGTTTTCATTTTTAAGGGGTTTCAAAAGTTAAAACTGTTATTTTTGTCTTTAATAAAGAATGGAGACTGTAAGTGAAGCTCTTGAAGAGCTGATAGTAGCTGCACAACGACAAAACTGTCTGACAGTAGGAGTCTACGAGTCTGCACAGCTCATGAATGTGTAAGTATTTTATTCAATCTACAATATAATTCAGTGATATGCATTAGACCAAACTGTAAAAACCTAAGTGCATATTAAATTAAACGCATTTATTGACTTGTACAGGGATCCAGACAGCGTGGTCCTCTGCGTTTTAGCGACCGATGAGGAGGACGAGAATGATGTTGCGCTTCAGATCCACTTCACGCTCATCCAAGCCTTCTGCTGCGACATCGACATCAACATCGTGCGCGTCTCCGGCATGAGGCGTTTAGCACAGGTCCTCGGGGAGCCGCTCTCCACTGACAGCAACGCTAACGAACCAAGAGACCTCCACTGCATACTTGTAACTGTAAGTATTATTTCGCATATTACAAATACACGTATAACATTTGGGAGAGGGGGTGCAGTTTGTAGCTATCTTTGAACTTTTTAAACAAAACACGAGTGTTTTTTTGTGGTATGTAGCCTACACTCTTAAAAATAAAGGTGCTTCAAAAGGTTCTTCACAGCGATGCCATAGAAGAACCATTTTTGGTTCCACAAAGAACCATTCAGGTGTAGGTTCTTTGAAGAACCATCTCTTTCTTACCTTTTTGTAATCTGAAGAACCTTTTTTCACCACAAAGAACCTTTTGTGAAACAGAAAGGTTCTTTATGGAACCATTTAGACAAAAAAGGTTCTTCTATGGCATCGTGAAGCACCTTTATTTTTAAGAGTGTATATTCGAAGGAAGAATGACAGTTTTGCCAATGTTCTGTTCGAAAATGAGCTTAGCGAAACGTTTTCAAAAATATAAGCTTACCGTTTATATTCGCGAGCTTATGGCAGTATGTACAATGACTAACTTTCCTAGTGGAAATGTTTTAAAACTCACTGGAATTGCATTTATACTATTCATAATGACCGGTTGTAGGCTACTTGTAAGACACCCACTCTCCCACCCCCACTTTAATTCACACCCTTAACACAAACTGGGTTAACGAACAAGCTATTGTCAAAGAAGATATGCAATACTAATCATATTTCGTTCCTTCTCATAGAACCCACAAGCCGAGCATCTCAAGCTGAACGAAGTGGGGAGTTACTGCAAGGAAAGCCGTTGCAGGAACCAGTGGGTGCCCTCCATTGCCCTGCAAGAGCGCTGAGGTGTGGTGCACTGAAATGTGCTGAAGAGAGCCGGAATATTGATGTTGTCCTTCAACCGTCATGAGGACATACTCATCGATTCAAGGGGACTGTCTAAAAGTCCATTACGGAGCTTCCACCTCCATGATTATGGAATTCTAAGTGTCAGAGGACACTAGAGACATTCGTCCACGTTCCTCATATTGCATGATCGGTGGTGTCACCCTTTGGAGGGACCAAAGGAGCACCAGGGTGGTCGGTGGACTGTGATGCAGCAAGGATGATAGGGGATCCGGACCGTGGCATGGCTGCACTTTGCACTCCACGTGGGAGGAGAGTGAATAACACATGGCTCAGACCTGACAATATTGTGATGGGTCTACAGAGGAAAAGAAGCTCTGCCTTAAAAAGAGACTGCTATTTAAGGACTGAATTGTCTTAATTTTTATTTATGCATAACACTGATGTCATTCACAACAAATAATATATTTGGTTATTTATACATTTACAAATGTTTACTTTTTTCTTATGAAATAAATGTTATGCTTAATGATTTAAAACGAACCGTTCCTGTTGTGTTTTTTATGCCAGATTTAAAAACGAAGTGCAACTTGCTGGACATTACAAAAACTGTCACGTGTGCTGACATTCAGTTCAGTTCAGAGCTCATAACCAAAAAAATTACTTAAATATATTCTTGCTTCCTTATAGTCAAGTATTATCATTTCATATTAGTTTAAGCACAACAATAAGGAAGAAAGGGACTTAAATTGTTCTGTGGGACAACAGACAGTTCTGATTAAGGGTAAAGAAATATTACCAAGAAGACAGCTGTTCACATATTGACACCTGTTTTTCCCCATCCTGGATCATAAATCATGCAGCCTAGATGCAGCACAATGTGTACAAACGTAAGAGGCTCCTTATCTGTTTCTCAAACACAGGAGTTTGTTTGCAAGAGGTACAAAATGTACATAAGGGCACAACTCTGCAGATAGACATTCTGCACTTGCTTTTTAACCTCTTCCTGCATAAAAGGATGAAAGAGCAACTACCACCAGACAAATCACAACAAGATCATAAAATGCTTAGTAATTCTGTTTCACTGATTGATTCCAATACTGCCAGTCAGGCAAAGAACAAAGTGGCTCAAATATGAATTTTCTTTTTTTTTTTTACACGTATGTGACTCATAACAGTGTAAATACCACAAATCATATGGAATCAAATCAGATTTTTTGATGCTGATTTGTGCCACTTCCATATTTGTCTTTTTTTATATTCCATATTTGTTGTATGTTTTACAATACAACCTCAGGCTGAATAGTCATATCAGAATATATGACTTTTGCATCACTCTAGATCGACGTTCATCACAATTCTCAGCTGACGGGATTCACTCCTAAGAGTTTACATACTCGTAATTCTTTATTCACTCAATTAATATTGAAGACGGGTAGTCAGTGGAGCGACACTGAGGTGTAAGTTTTACAGTAACAACTCCATACAAGCAAAACTTGAAGGGAAACCAAACAAAAAATCATCCTCATTCTTGTCTTCATCCTTCTTATCGCCTGTACACAAATTACCTGGCTTCCACGGTGCATCAATTTATAAATTCTTCCATGTTTAATTTCATATTACAACATGCTCGTGCCGTCTTGTTTTTGTTCTTTTGCGCATGCAGTTCAGTTTGGGACAGTGTCCAATTCACACTTGAATCTGATATATTGGCCACATTTTAAAAATAATGTGAACAGCCAAACAAATCAGAATTGAGCATTAAGCCTTGCAGTATGAACATGGCCCTAGTCATATAGTGATATCTCTTTCAAAAGAACAATCAGTGTCTTTATAGACTTGTCATGAAAACATGCACAAACATCTTATTAGTCACACACTCGTGCTGTTCTTCAGAAGACCAAAAAAAGGGGAAAATAGCTTGATCACTCTGACTTCAATGACCTTTTCTTTGGTGACTGTTAAAGATCAGGCTGCCTGCAGGCCACAGAAATCATGCACGAGGGGGTCTGCTGTGATGATTGTCCCATTAATTTTGCAGACAGTGAAGCAGACGGTATGAAAGATTCTGCCCTTACTGCACGTGTTAGACCCCACATCTTCAAGACTATGGGTGTGCTCTGATTTCCCACAAGATTGCATTGACTCACACCATATTCCCTTAAACTCCAGCTAAGACGTCTGGGGATGATTCCACTACAACTTTAGTAATATGAAGTGAATAATGTCATACGGATGACTCAGAGATGTCTACATCTGCACAAGCTGAGTATCAGTCTTTTCTTGAGAACATATCATGCTGTACGGAAGGTCTGTATTTTCACAGGGAGCTGTGTTCTCACATGTGGCAGTGTTTCCTTGTGCCAAAAAAATGTTCACTTACTGAACGAGAGGTTAAAAAAAAAAACAATGGCACAATTCAAGAACGGTGATGAGAAGAAAGTTAGTGAGCAATAATCACCCACTTTATGAAGTCATCAACAGGGGCCATTGTTTGGGTGGGTTGGATCAGTTAACAACTGACAGATATATTTGTATCTTCATTGTAAAAGCCCGAGAGAAAACAGTGTTTTCTGCCCCAAGGCTCTCGTACGTGCACAAAGCCGACGTTGACGGGCTCCTCTGTAGACAGACATGACTA